AAGCTTAGGACTAGACTGGTGTTAAGATCTCATTAGTTGAGAATTGAGGTGTCTAGATGTAATCATAAATTCTATACTAGCAGTTTCTTTTCTCGCACTTCTCGCTTATGGATGTCCCTTTCAGCTACATGCTTTTCAACCAGATTTAATCTGCAAAAATTTAAATGCAATGTCAATCGTTATCGACTGTACTCCTGATTACTCTTTCATCTTCCCGCTCATTATTAATGTTTCTGTTCGTAATTCTTCCGCAGCCTGTAATCCCTTGTGTCATAGTGGCTTTACTACCTTGAATAGGGTGGTACCCATTAAAAAAAAATCAACAATTAACGCGTTAGCATTCTATATGACAAATGTGTAAAGCTTAAAATGCATTTTTCAGTAAGTTGGTATTTACGAGTAACTTGGAACTGCTTTGATAAAAAAAAACCATCGAAATATAAATATCTTTTACCAAGAGGTAAAATTTGAACGGAAAAAATGTCAAAACCCAAAATTTAAATCTGAAAACATTGACTGTTTTGATAAAACCCGGGTGCTTTACTAACAGATGGAAAATAAGGGTGGATTGGTCAATTGATCGACTATGCTGAATTGTATTTCCCTTAGAAAAACCACATGGTTATCTAAATACTGGAAAGACTCCCACTAAAAGTACTTTTGAATCTGGTTAACCAAGAATGTAGAGGAAGGAAAATAATTTTTGACAAGTGATTGATTATGAACTCTTAGCAGAATCTACGCCGAAAAAACAAACAAACGAAAAAAAAAAAACAAACCCAAAAAACAACCCCCCCCAAAAAAAAACAAAAAAAAAACACGTGGCCCGAAATATTTGAGGAAAGTGCTTCGTTTGAAAAATTAAATAAACTTTTACTGGAGAAATTAAGAGTACAGGGTGATCGGAAAGTCTTGTCACTCTTATCAAAAAGTAATGAGAACAATAAAATAACAAGTAATACAGTCATACAAAGCACATGTACTGGGTTCAGTTTATTCACTTTCTTTGATGCTGTCAAACATCGAGAAGCCTCTCTTCCAAACTCTCTTTTTTTCCTCTGATTTGCATGCAATATGTAGGTTACTTACATCATAACGAGTTCAACGATACCTCATTTTTATTTCTACACCACTGCGTTTAGCGAAAAACGAAAAATCGATTTCAACACAAATTTTAAACTAAAATCGCTCTCAATTTTCAAGCAATCTAATACTAACTTCACTCACTTGTAGCCAGCAATACGTCTTTTGCTTAACAGTCATTTAACTTGACTTCACCCATATAGTGAAAACCCGCGTAAATAGCGAAAAATGGCGATCTTTACTGGTTTCTTTCTTAGTTTTCGTTGATTTTTCAACCAGTTTTCATCAAACTTAACAATTGCTTTATAAATGTATCTTCTTTTACATCCCTGGTAGCACACTGACAAATTGAATTTCAAAAACTCCAAAATAATTGACGTTCCACGCCACATTAAACAAAAGGTTAAGAAGGAAGTCCTCCATCAATACTGGAAAGAGCGATAACAGTTACTGGACTTGAGAAACTCGATTTTCCTGAAATATTTTTTTGAGAGAACTGAATAATGAAGCCCTTCCTTAAATCTAATTTTCATTTTGTGTCCCATTTTACCTTTTTTTAAATTAAAAAATGTCACATGTTGAAAATGTTCTTTATTTTCTTCTCTTTTAAATGTTAAAACCAATATCCAAAAAAAAACCCCGCCAATTTTGAGAAATTAAAATATATATATATATATATATATATATATATATATATATATATATATATAATCGTGACGATTGCGTCTAGCATGAAACAGCCTGTCGCCTCTCTGTGTTGACTTTAATGTTCACTTTTATATTTACACACCTGATATCTCTGATATTGAACACTTTATCCCATAAATATAGCACACCTTAAGTTTATATTTATATATATATATATATATATATATATATATATATACACACGCTGATATGACAATTTACACAATCTGATCAAAAGAAAGCTTGATTTATAATGAAACATCTTTTTAGATGCAATAAGTGATGTGGGTGCCAAAGTTGGGACCACAGAAGTAAAACACGGAACACGGATTAGATGTAAGAAAGATATATTGACAATAGGTTACAGAGATAGTGTAAGCAGAGCTTACTATATGTTAGTGTCAAACACTGATAGCCGTACTAGACTCTCACTGTCTCTCTGTGTCACTCTCTGTCACTCTCTAGAGTGTTGTGTCGCATACTTAATATAGACCTGGAAGAGTCTATTGTGTAGGTAGTTCCGGTCTCACAATAATAAGATAATAAGAATAACGAAGTCAGACGTTGAATCTAACATGAACATTAATAAAACATCTGAAAATGGAAGGAACTCGCCGTTTGAACGATTAAAAACGAATAAGTATTAGGGTTATTAAAGTTGTGGTGTGACACTATTTAGGGTTGTTAGAAAGAAAAGAAGAAAGAAGAAAAGGCGAGAATTAAATTTAGGTGATAAGAAGCAATCACGAACAGGACACTAAGTGATGTTATTTTTCTGACAAAGAAAAGTGGTAAGATTTTATTTTCATTATCGAGGAAAGTAAGACACTGGATTTAATTTGATTTATGACGACGCACCGAATAAGATATAGCTATCTGCCCATGGCAATAAGGAAAATTTCAGGTTGGTCGAGTGGCCTGCGAAACAGAATACTAAGAGATAAAAATTAATTGGGCCGCGGAAGAAAATGTCCTCTGGACCTCCCGCAGAGTGCTGGGAGATAAAAATTAATTAGGTCAAGCTCTGACCGAAACCAAAATGTCCGTTGGACCACCCCCATATCATTTGGGAAAAACACCTGTTTTATGTCGAAGCGGGCCACGATAGGAAAATTATTTTATCAGAACGAATAATTAGCGCCAGAATGCAAAATCGCCAGATGACCGCCCACTTGATAATTGGCGAAAAGACTCGATTGATAAAGTCCAGGTGACATTCGATTAAGCAAGAAAAGAAAAAGAAAAAGAAAAAGGAAGATAATTTTTTTTCTTTGAGCAAGATTTTTTAAACCGAGGCCAGTCTGGCCACACCCACACTGCTGGGCGCCCATTGGCTGAATGGTGACGTGAGCGGTAGGCGAAGGTAATCATGTGAGGAAGGAGGTGAGGCCTGTTAATGCCCCCCTGAAAGGATCGGTGTGAGGTGCCACTGTGAGAGAGAGGGGAAACCCGTTGACACCCTCTGAGGGTATGGGTGAGATACCAAAATGAGAAAGGAAGAATTGGGGAGGACGAAAGACTTCCAAAAATAGAAATAATAATTCTTCCTGACCGAAAACAAAGAAAAACCTTTAATACGGATTTAGAATTATCAAGGAACCTCAAACCCTGACAGGCCCACGCCGGTTCTGGTCGGCGTCCATATAAGCAGAGTCGCAACGAGTAAGAGGGCAGTTCGCAGTGAAGTTCGCAGTTGGGGTTAGACAGACAGGCAAGCAGTTGCAGTGAGCTGAGAGCTCGCAGACGCCTCGCAGGAAGCTGACTTAAGATTCGCGCATTCTCGACCTCAACTTCTAACCAAGAACAATTTATTTTTGAAGAACGATTTAGACTCACACCAACAAAACAAGTTTTACGAATATCGCCTGAAGATACACCAAGAACCAGTTTCTTAAAGAACAAACAACTTAAGATGTTAAAACTCGCCTAACAAACACAAAATGTCACGAATCCATATAGCGGTTTGGGAGAAAAGATGCAGTGCTGTATTTAGCAACCAGATAAAAAGTATTGTTAACACATTTGACCTTTTCGAGTTATTACTTTATTTTCTTTTACATATACTTGTGTGGTGTTACTCTTGTCCGGACTCAACTTGCATTACGGCCCGGCGACTGATTGATTTCGTCTATCTAAGATCAAATCACAACGTGGGTAGGAGGGACTAGAAATCAAAACAGTTACTTCGGTAACCAGACGTTGGAGGTGAGCTGGGAACGACAAGGCTGATACTGAATCTAACCAGATTCCCATCCGAATCAGCAAAGGGTTAGAACGTCACGTTTGGTGCCGCGACCAATACCAAGTCACATTGGTCGTCACAGGACAGGATAGGACGGCGACGGCGCGGAGACAGACGGGGTGACGTCACAATTGGCGCCGCGACCAGGACAGCACGGCGGGCACGGCCAGGCAGACGTCACATTTGGCGCAGCGACACCGGAGGGGGGGGGTGACGTCACAATTGGTGCCGTGACCAGGATAGCACGGCGGCGCGCCCAGGCAGACGTCACATTTGGCGCAGCGACACCGGAGGGGGGGACGTCTGGTGGTGCCGTGACCAGGATAGCACGGCGGCGCGCCCAGGCAGACGTCACATTTGGCGCAGCGACACCGGAGGGGGGACGTCAATTGGTGCCGTGACCAGGATAGCACGGCGGCGCGCCCAGGCAGACGTCACATTTGGCGCAGCGACAGCGGGGGACGTCACAATGGTAGAATTTAGGAGAAGAAAAATGCTTCATCTGAAATTTATAGAAACGGGAAGAAAACATTATGACAGACAGAGATAAAACAAAGCTACAAATACAGATAATCAAGGACGTTACAGGAAGGTCCACTCAATTTGAAAATGAGGATTTTACTTTTGATGTTAAATAACAGTTAACAGCGAAGTCGTTAGTGTTGTTCGTGTTCTGGTTGTGACATGCATTTAGGCTCGAACATCGATAGTTGTAATGAACTCGAGGTTTTGTGGCGCTGCTGGTTGGTTGTTTTTGTTTAGCGGTATATCAACTATTTTCAGATTATTTAATACCGAAATCTAAATACTTGTACACAAGTGTAATGACACAAGTCTTACTAATTAACCTATAGCTGTGTCAAGATTCATATCTTTCCCAAGGTTATTTGCGTGTAAGGAAATATAACTAAGACAGCGGGGATTGGAACCCGGCTCTCCGATTAACAATTCCTAGTTCATAATCCATTACACCACACGCACATCCAAGCTTACAGCAACTGGTATTCCCAAGCGGTCACTCATCTAGCTACTGACCAGGCTCGACGTTGCTTAACTTCGGTGATCATACGGTAACCGGTGATATGGCCATAAGTCATACCACCTTCACATCCAAGCTTGCAGCACCTGATATTCCTAAACGGTCACCTATCTAAGTTCTGACGAAGCTCGACGTTGGTTAACTTCGGTGCTCATAAAGGCACCGGTGTTTCAACGTGATATGGCCATGTCATACCACCTTCAAATCCAAGTTTACAGCATCTGATATTCCCAAGTGGTCACCTATCTAGGTTCGGACCAAGCTTGACGTTGTTTAACTTCGGTGATCGTACGTGAATCGGTATTTCAATGAGATATGGCCGTAAGCGTTTAATTATATTTTCTCTGAAAGTAAAACTGGCTGCTTTGAGAAACTTGTCGTCTGCTTTATGTGGTGGATAATTTTATTCAGACAATAAACGTACACAATTCTTTTATGTGGTAAATTACTAACCAATCAGTCTACGGAAGGATTTTTTCCCCTTTTGTTCGTCTTGGCCGAAGTCGTTCATAACAAACGATAGCTGGGCAATAACTTCCGGTCACGTGTAAGTTCGATCTCCATTGCCAGTGACCGAATTTCTTCATTTCTAACAGATGAAGAAGAAAAAAAGAAGCCAAACAAAAGGTAGATTATCTTTTCTCGCTTTTTAAGATAATAATCCTCTAACATATATTTTACAAGCCTATTATAAAGTCTCAGTAATGCGATTGAATCATTTTGGTAGACGATCTTAAAAAATGCTAATCTTGGCGTGATTAATGCTGGCAATGGAGCACTTGGGTTCAAATATTTTTAATGAATAATTTGGCATTTTGGGAATCTGTTCAGTTATGTTCTGAAAAGCTTTTCTTTCTTATTATTTATACTATAAATAGTGTAACTGTTAATTATGTTGTAAGTGAATTCGGCATACCGGGTTCAATTCTTGTTCGATTCACTTCGCGCTTGAAAAATGCATGATTCCATCTTCCCCAATTATAGATTAAATAGTAAGGCAGATTATTTTCTATTGTCTTTAATTGGCAACCAATCTAAGAGAAGGACAACTCGGAATGTAAAACTAACCTGAAGAGAAATGAATTCAAACATTCTATCTTAACCAAGACACACTATTGATGCTATTAATACAATGTATAAGTGCCTTTACGACCATGATGGGTCATGGGACTCCCACTATGATGGGTTGATACTATAAAAATCAAGAATTTGTGTGGCTAAACAATGAATATTCACAAAGGAAAAAAGGAGTGATTAAAGAGGTAAAATCTTTCGGTCGATTTTATTTTCATATAACATATCTCTTAAGGATGTAGTCCTGTGTATGACAATAAACTACATCCGGTAGCAAGGCCTCAGATCAGGAGATCGGAGTTTTTGAGGGGCATGGAATTATTTGTTAGGGTCTCAGATACGGGCAAAACGTGAATCCCCAGATAAAAATCAAATCGTTTTTTATAGTAAAATTACCAGAAATACATTAAAAAATGATCAACAAGACATTTTTCTAGTGAAATCACCAAAAATACATTATTATTTGCAAAAATATTACCATTAATACATTTTTTTAGTAAAATGAACAATAATACTTTCTATAGCAAATTGACCAACAATACTTTTTTATAGTAAATTGGCCAACAATACATTTTTATAGCAAATTGGCCAATACTACATTTTTATAGCAAATTGGCCAACAGTACATTTTTAGAGCAGATTAACCAACAATACATTTTTATAGCAAATTTATCAATAATACATTTTATAGCAAATTTATCAATAATACATTTTATAGCAAATTGACCAACGATATATTTCATAGTAGCATTACCAATACATTTTTATAATAAAATGACAAACAAAATGACAATGCAACGCTAAAATGTATGAAAATACATTTTATAGTAAAATTACTAGCAATACATTTTTTAAAAATTACCAAGAATACATTTTATCATCTACAAATTATATATCTAAAAAATACGTTTGCACTGAAAGTATAAAATGATGTACAAAATATTTGTAGTTGACGGTATAAAATTGCGTGTAAAATATTTAAATTTCGGCATTATATAACAAATAGAGGTTAATATATGCTTAGTCCTATGTTTCGCTTTCTTTCTGTCTCTTAGTAGTTGCTTTTCTTAAATTAAATCACAATATGTTGAAAATATTCTTTATTTTCTTTCCTGCTACATTTTAGAATCAGTAACCAAAGATTATAGCAATTTTAAGAAATAAAAAATATGTACACGCTGATATGACAGTTTTCGCAATATGATAAAAAGTGATCTTTTTTTAATGAATTTAAAACTAATCGCTCCTAATGCCATTAAATGACAAACAGAGAAGTTATAAATATGATCAGATTGGCTTCATAGCAGAAGAACCGTTGATCACGAAAAAACAAAAGAGAACAGAGAAAGGTATTCCCCTGTGCAAAACAGTACAATGCATCAAAAACTATGACACAAAACTGCACGCAAGAATAAATGCAATAAGAATTATATAAAAGACCTTTTATTGTATTAGGTAAAAAACATAAAAATTTCTTTCATATGTTGAAGGTTGAGTTAACCTTGTCTTGATAAGAGGTCCGGTCAAAAAGTAATGCCCATTATTCTCTAAATACAACAGTGAACAGAAGCACGCGAAACAGTGCAAGATGGACACAAAGGATTTCAGATTCCAAATATAGTCTTCAACAAAGTCTTTCTTCTCATTCATGGCACGACGATTGATGAAAGGTAATGCCTGTTACTCTTTAATTAAAACGGATTTAACATTAGAGACACACGATGTATAGCAAAGTGAACAGAAATGTTTAAAGATTTCAAAATCAGTCATCAGCATAGACTCATTCCTTCTGAAAAAGTAATGCTTTCACCCTAGATTTGAGAAGCATACCAAAATGTAGTACTGAACACAAAGCATGCCAAATGTGGTACTGAACACAAAGCTTACCAAAATGTGGTACTGACCACAAAGCTTAGCAAAATTTAGTATTGAACACAAAGCATAATAAAATGTGGTACTAAACACAAAGGTTACCAAAATGTAGAACTGAACACAAAGGATACTAAAATGTGGTACTGAACATAAAGGTTACTAAAATGTAGAACTGAACACAAAGGATACTAAAATGTGGTACTGAACACAAATCTTACCAAAATGTAGTACTGAATACAAAGCATGCTAAAAATGGAGTACTGAACACATACGAAAACAAAGCTTACCAAAATGTAGACCTGAACACAAAGCATGCCAAATGTGGTACTGAACACATAGCTTACGAAAATATACTGCTGAACACAAATAGTGCTAAAATATGGTGCTGAATACAAAGCCTACCAAAATGTAGTACTGAACACAAAGCATACCAAAATGTAGTACTGAACACAAAGCTTACCAAAATGTGGTACTGACCGCAAAGCTTAGCAAAATTTAGTATTGAACACAAAGCATAATAAAATGTGGTACTAAACACAAAGGTTACTAAAATGTAGAACTGAACACAAAGGATACTAAAATGTGGTACTGAACACAAATCTTACCAAAATGTAGTACTGAATACAAAGCATGCTAAAAAAGGAGCACTGAACACGTACGAACACAAAGCTTACCAAAATGTAGACCTGCACACAAAGCATGCCAGATGTGGTACTGAACACATAGCTTACGAAAATGTACTGCTGAACACATAGCTTACGAAAATGTACTGCTGAACACAAATCGTGCTAAAATATGGTGCTGAATACAAAGCTTACTAAAATGTAGTACCGAACACAAATCATATCAAAATGTGTTACTGTTCACAATGCATACCAAAATGTAGTACTAAACACAAAACATACTAAAATGTGCTACTGAACACAAAGCTTGCCAAAATGTAGTACTGAACACAAAGCATACTATAATATGGTACTGAATACAAAGCTTACCAAAACGTAAAACTGATCGCAAAATATGCTAAACTACAACTGGTATTGTTAATGTCCTCATGTACCAAATTTCTGAGATTTCGATTTCAATGTCCTTGATAGTTTTTTGAAGAGGTTCAAAGATACATTGCAGTCTGCAGGGAATGCCATGTCAATAAGGAGGCATATTTTGTCTTTGAGGTCTCTAATCGTGATGTCAGGACGATTAGCTTTGATTGTTCTCTCTGTGTGTATTGTAAAATCTCAGGTCCTATCTCCGTAACCGGGCCTGGGTGGTGTTCAAACCAATTTCTTGCAAATCCCTTTTCGTAAGTGCTGCAGATTTTCAAGTGCATATATTGGCCCACTCTGTCGTGCCGTGATTTATATTTAGTGGGTGCCAATACCGCGCAACCTGATACAAGATGGTCAATTGCTTCTGGATATTTATCACATAATATGCATTTTGGGATAACATTCAGTATCTGTGCTTGGTAATTTCTAGTACAGCAAGAATGAAACCTTCAGTTTCAGCTTTTAACCCTGTACTACGTAGCCACTGATAGGTACTGCGTTTGTCTACATCAGCTTATTTGGTACTGGCAGAATATTGAGTGTGAAGAGGTTTATCCTACCATCAATTCTGATCAATTGCAGCTGCAGTAGGTGTACTATGTTTTACTTGGATTTCTTCACCCACTTGATAATCCGTTTTGAACTTGTTGGCTTCCTTTATTACTGAATAATGTTTCTTATTTCTTTTATGTTCTTTGACACAGATCATCATCCAGTTTTCTGTAGTTTCTAGGTATCATTGAAGACCGATTGTTTATGTTTTGTAAGACAGTTCTAGTTGAACTAATCCTCTGCCTCCTACGGATCTGGACACATACGATCAACATCAGCCTTGGGATGATGCATGTGAAGCCAAGTGAGAAGCCTTTTCGTTTTGGCCTTCATTCGCTTAATGTCAGCTATGGTCCAGTTAAGGATGCCGAAACTGTATTGCACCATGTGGACAGCCAAGGTGTTTATGGCTGATATTCTGTTTTTTTTTTTTTTTTTTTTTAATTCAGCTCGCTATTCAACATCAGACGCACACACATGTAGTATTCTTTCTTTACTTTCTCCTTCATTTGGTCATGCTGCATTCCATCGCCTTCGCTAATTCCTAAGTACTTATAGGATTCTTCTTGTTCCAGTTCCCTAATCTTTGTAACAAAATCTACATCTATTGAGTGTCTTTCTGTAATTCTCCCTTACTTGAATGTTACTTTTGTACATTCATCTAATCCAAAATCTATACCTATGTCGTTAGTGAAACATTTTACAGTATTGAGGAGGCCCTTCAGCTCATTGTCGTCTTTGGTAAAAAGTCCGAGATCATCCATATAGAGTATGTGATTGA